TTCTTTTGTCCTGCTCCTATGTCAGGGTATCAAACCAGGAAGGAATAGTTAGAAAATGCAGTTAATTCACATGGGCTGCTTTTAATTTTTACAATGGTCTCTACATTGTAATTCTCTTATTTTTTCAGTTCTACTGCTTCAGGCAATACATCCTGAGGGACAACACTGAGAAAAACAGAAATGTGCACTTTATTCCACTTGCTGAGTCCTGTAAGTTTGCTGTCCCAGAGGTCACTGATCTGCTGAAATATTCAACTTTATTTAGACTGATTTCTATCTGAGGGTGAGTGGGGAGACATTTTATCCTTTGCTTCAAGCAGCCAAAGCTTTTGCCCTGGAGCTGTAGTATAGTACTGAGCTTTGAAAAGCAACAGGATTTCAGGCATCTTCTAATATTTGGTTGGCCGCAACATAATTCTGTTCGTTGATAATTGCTTAGATGAAAAAGGCCAGATATCCCATATACCCTACTTAAAAGTAGTTCTGGTTAGGGAGGGGACGAGAGAAAATGAATTCAGCAATAATAAAGAATATTATTAATTATTATTAGAATTCTCTAAAGGAAAACTTGCGCGATCTACTATAAAGAAAATACCTGCTAGCCTTTGGGCAAAACAAGAAAAAAGTCTAATCATGTGAACTACAACTCCCAAGCTACACCACCTTCATTCAGAAAAACGATTCAATGCCACCTTCCCGCGCAAAGAAAGCAGTGCACCCTGGGAGTTGTGGTTTTTCCCTTCGTAATAAAGCGCGGGATAAAAGAAAAGCCGCAGGCCTGTACCTGAGCGGGGGCCAAGGAAGCTTCCCGTCCTTTCCGATGCCCATGTTGTTGCACACAGCAACGATAGAGTGCAGAGACGCTACCATCGCTCTTTTTTCGCCGCGGCAATTCTGCACTGACGATCCCACGCGCTCGCTAGACTTCGGACCCCGTGATCCCGCGGAGCATACGCAGAGCGACGCGCCTCCCGTGCGGAGAGAAGGGCGGGTGGTCCCGGCAGCCATGATAGTGGGGTCGGTTTCGCTGACCGGCGAAGTCGGAGCGCTTCCGTGACCCGACGTCCGCGCTTCAGCCACTGCGGGGAGGAAGAGGCGGAGAAGCCGCCGGCAGCTGTGTGCCCGCAGAGCCCCCCGGGCGGCGTGCGCGGTTCGTCTCAAGGGGCTCATCGCAGGCGGCGGCCACTTTCCAAGTATTTCTGCTCTTGCACCGAGCCTGCGATGCTGCCGGGGCGAAAAAGAAGGCGGCGGCCTAACGCCGGTGACGAGTCCCGAGAACAGCCCGTGTTAAGTAAATTCTTCCCGCCGGTGGCATCTTTGCAGCGCTGCAGCTCCGCTGAGGAGGTGGAAAAGGAAAGCCCTGAGGCCGCTGCTCGGCATACGGTGCGCCCCAGATTGTAGTGACGGCTGCGGGGCGAAACTGGGTGCTCGTTCGTTAGACTCCTGCATTGAGGAGGGCTCTCTGAGCCTCTCGTGGGCTAGTTTATGGCCTCTGTTGGGCAGGTCTGGCCGTAATGCCCTCTTCCCTTCTAGCCTTAAGTGCTGTGAAAATCACTGAGCCTGGCAGGATTGACCTCTCACATGGTGATTAGAAGCAATGCTTGGGTAGCTGCAGAATTGCTAATCCTACTTGGAAAGCTTTCTCTTCAAAAAGTTACATGTCTTTTTTAGCATTAAAGTTTGGGACATTTGCATTCTACTCTTTCATTCTGTGACACACAACATTAGAATTCAAGAGCACCCAACAAAGTTGTTTTGGCAGCAGCTTGATGGTAAATGGAGTCAGACCAGTTAAAATGTACTGTAGCTTCATTATGATAGTTAAATAAAACCTCAAAGCAGGATTATAAGGGCCTCAAAGCAAACCATTCAAGTGAGCCCCCAGTAACGCAGAAGCTCAGGCATCTTTGCCCCCTCCAGGCTGCAGCAACTGAGGGTGAATCGGGAAAGGGAAAACGGGTCACACAGCTGCTTGCTTCCTCCCTGTCATGGCAGCAGAGGGCTTGGGACACCCAGGAATCTCCTTTACACTTAGTCACTCAAAGTATCCCCAAGCCCCTCCTGCTCTAGGTCAGGTGAAAATGTCCTTTTGTCCATTCAGAATATAGCTGGGCATGTGCACTGTACTTATGGCCCCTCTCCCATCTCACCAACCTCCTGGGAGTCTTTCTCAGGCATGACATACCTGAGCTGCAAAAATCTAGATAAGCACTAGGATGGCAGTTTTCTGTATCCCTCCTTACTGCCATCTTGTTAAGAGTTACATGCTGAGATATAGTATCCCTACTGTACTTAATCTGGCTTGTTGAACATGTAAATAAATAGCTAGGGGAAGTCTAGTAATCCCTCAAGGCAGCTGCCTCTGTGTTCAGTGACACTGTGCTACTGAGTATTGCTTGCTAGGGTAGAGTGGAAGGAGAGGAAAAATGTTTTCCAGTCATGAAGTTAGTGCATTTTTATAAGAAATTGATACAAGCAGAAATATATGTGCTTGTAGGAAATACATGTTGTACTGAGAAGGAGTGAGCAGTTTGATTGGGCTACTTGGTGAATTTAATGGAGTAGTGTATATGCTTGTTTGGGTCTTAGTCTTAACACATGTCCAGAGTTTTGTGCTAGAAAATGCAGGTTCATCTTACCTGATCTTGGTGAATTTGAACTCAGCATCATTTTTATATTTATAAGATGGAGAGAGTTGGTACTATCTCAAATTTAAGCAAGAAAAAGTGCAGTCATTATTGTAGTAAGTAGGTCTTAGTTTAAAGTAGATACATTTGAAATCATTGTGACAAATTGAACTACTCTTTGCACATTTAAAATGCCATAGTTATAAAGTTCATTCATAAATAAAGGTATAAAATAAAAAGTATGGTGTAAGTTTTCTCAGGGTAATTGTACAATTAAATTAATCTAGAATCCTGGTTCAAGTTCCTTTTCCTTGTGTGAGAGAGAAAATGTATAAGCCCCAGCATAGTTCCAATTGATGTCTCAGAATCAGACTGACATGGTTCATATAACATGCTAAGCCATCCTGTATGGAGAAAGAAAACTAATCTTCACTTGGCAAGAATCAGAATTTTGAAATCAGTTATCAATCTTGGTTTTAGATTCAATTTTCTGGAAACTAGAAATGGTTGTCATTCTGATTATGGATGGTTAATACAAGTAGATAGGTTTATGGTTGTAATCACAGATCATAATGATGATTAACTTCAGTAACCTCAGTTGTTTTGATTTTTTGGCTTTTATTAATTGAATACAAAACAAATTATTACCCAGTACAAACATATCAAAACTTCTTTTTTAGGCTACTGAACCTGATGGCAAAAAGAGAAAACTGATAAAGAACAAAGAATATATTGACAAGTCCTCGAAGTCTCTACAGTGTAAAAAAGAAGAAAGTAATACCATGGGTACACAGAACACAGGTGAGTTCTAAATAATATAACTTTCTTTTCTTTCTATCAGGGAGTGCTCTGTAGCTGTGCCCATTGTGGTTGTCTGGGAATCCAGGAGCAGGAGAGAATTAGGGAAATTTCCTTAGCTTTTTATTTTGTCATTTACAAAATTCATTCTCATGTACATTAGTGTCTACCACCTAATATTATCACAGTTTCATCTAAATACATGTATAGGATTACACCTATTGTTTGATTTTCAGTCACATTTTGTAAATATTCTAAACTGTTAATTAGTACAATAGTTGTGAATCTATATTTTCTACTATTTTATTTGGTTTATATGTTACACTTTCACAAATGTGTAGCCTCTTAAGGGAGCAGGAGATTTTTGGATTATGAAGAGCAAAGATCATGGGAAAAGTTGTGTTTAGAGAAAAAGATGGTTTGGAGAGTTTTAATCAGGGAAGTAAAATATTTGTTGATCTAGGAATGGACGGAAAGCAGTTGGAAGTGTTCTGGCCATAGCATTCTGGAAGAAACAAGCCTATACCAGATATGGACTACCTTAACTACTTCCAGTTCAAACTGGGAGTACAAGGTCCAGAGGTGATTCAGCAGGGTCCAGAAAGAAATGGAACATGCAGAGTCCATTCCCACATCAACAAATTTTACACATCCCCTTTACGGAACTTGTGTTTGATCTAGCAACAGAAACTAAGCCAGTGTAGGAAATTAATGAGATCATCGCATTTTCAAAGCATCAAGATAAATGAATTGATTTGGTAACAGAGTGCTGGATAGTTATGAGAAGATCAAGAAATAATTAGGGCATGAAACAGGATGTTTGTGGACTCAACGAAAAAAATCCCTATTTTTGCACTTTTGTGCAGGGAGAAGCAATATAGCCTAAAGACTTAAGTTATACAGTATAGCCAAAGGTATGTGCTGTTCAGCAGGATAGGTGCCAACATAGTTATTGGATAAAAAAAGTATATGGAAGAAAGATGAAAAATATTCCTTGGATGTAGTATGTTTGTGATAAAACATTTTCATTTATATTGCTAATAAAGGGGAAGCAAAGAAATGCTCTGAAATATGCTCAGAAACCTTTGAGAAATTGAGAGCATTTAGCCGTTTGGAGCCTCCAAGAAATAGAGTTCCTTCAGAAGCTTTTCATGGAAAAGAGTTAGTAGATCTGAAAAAATGCCAACATTCTGTGATTGGAATCAATGAAACAAATACTTCACATCCCCCAGATTTCAATAAGGTAATCAGTTATTTCTATATTTTAATTCAGCTGTTAAAATTCTTTAATCGTGAATGTTGACTGAATTTTGAAGATGCTAAGACAGCAGTTTAGTATTGTTAAATCTTGGATCATCCTGTTCTATGAACAGGGTAACAATGGTAGCAATCCATAGGAGTCAATACCAGCAAAGATAGTGCATGTTAAGTGGTGCAGTTAATTGAATCAGCATTTGATGTATTGCTAGATATGGCAAAGTGCTGGAAGTCAATTGTTGGTTAATAAAGACTATCAATATTCAAGGAGGCAATAGTC